CGATAAGAGAATGACAATGGGAATGTAAGAGGGAAGAGTTGCGATGACACCCGTCAATGGAAGTGTAGGGAACACACTTCGAAAAACAATGTGTCATTTTGCGGTCATTGCCAACTTTACACGACTCATGCTTCTTGTATGTGTGATGGCCTTCTTACTAGTATCCCTTTGTTTTTATCCTCTTTACTCTCCCTTCCTCTGGCATTGTTTGATTTTTATTTTTATTTTTTCTCCTCTTTACTTATCACCTCTCTGCTCGCACACCCACTCCTGTTATTTGGTCTTATTGGCCGCGAAATGTACCAGAGGAACGAAAAGAGAAGAGTTTAATCTCTCCGCATGGCCTCCGTGAACCAATCGATCGAGAGCAACACGAGTAGCCTGCAGCGCTCTGGGCTAAGCATGAGTGTGGGGGACACAAAGTCCATTGTTCTTGCACTCCAGGCCCTGCAAGACAAGATACGCCGCCTGGAACAAGACCGCAATCACCATCAGGATCAGTACGAAAGAGCCCTCCAGGCACACGAGGCCTACAAACAGGACATGGAGCATCAGCTGGAGCGGGAACGTACACATCATCGGCAACGTGAAAAAGACTTGCAGGAGATGGTGCAGCGGGCCACCACGGAGAAAACAAAGCTGCAAAATACTTTGGAAGAAAGTCGGAAAGACTTGGGGACGTTTCGAACGGAACTAGAGGAGATGCTTATTAAGGAGTGTGACGCTGCACAAAAGCGTGAAAATGCGTTGGCCAGCGAGGTAGACAAATTGCGTCAAGAGTTAGAGGAGCAACAAAAAAGATACCGTGCGCTTCTTTCATCAATTGAAGAACTCCGGGCCGAGAAGGAGGCGGCACTCGACACCAACCATCACTTAGAGCAAGCAATACAGGAGCTTATGCGGATTCAATCGGGGCGTGGGGTAAACCGGACACTTTTACGAAGTGGTGACACTAGCCGGCTGACGGCAGAAGGAGGCAAACGTCGTAGTCGTCGTGGAAGAACTCACAGCAGCGCTGCGGTGAACCTAGCGAATCGAACTGGTTACTCGCGCCGAATTTTTGAGCCTCATCAAATGGATAGCCGCCCAACGTCCATTGTTCGTTCCAGCAGTGCTCGGCACACGTACCGTGACCCGACATATTCCTCTATCCAGCGCGATGTTCGCAAGGAGAACGGAACCCAAGTAGTCGATAACAGCTTTGCTGGTGAAGTTGCAAGGCCGGTCTCGTATGCGACGGAATCGGCGGCGCGGACGCAGCCCTCAGTCCCATTGGGGGGGAGGCAGAATGGTGCCATGGCGGAAGTTTGTCAGGAACTGGAGAGCGAACTGAAGAGCCTTCACCAGCAGTACAAGGAGACTGTGGAGCGGGCGGCCGCCGAAGAGATCTCTGCGGAAGTGGTTGCCGCAGCGTTGAATCGCCTCGCAAAACTCATGGATCGCAAGAAGGAGCAGATTCAACTCATTAAAGAAGCTCAGCGTGACATGGCGGCGGCGGCGGGAACAGTAGTCGATGTGCCGACGTCGCGCCCAACTGGCGCGTCGAAGCGGCGGCCACCTCCGGTAGGGTCAGACAAGGTCACACAGCGCAGTCTCATTGTCAACGAGCTTCGCTCTTTGTTATCACCGCAACATTCGTAAAGAAAAAAAAGGGTATGGGCCAAGAAGGACGAGGCCGCGCAAAGAGGGGGAAATATTTAAAGGAGGAATATTCAAGGAAAAGGAAGCGAGACCCAAAATAGATGGATGGGAAAGCTTATCTGCTGGAATTATAATGGGGAGAGGGAGATGTAGAATTTATTATTGACAGGGAACATGTGAAGTTTAAGGGAGAGAGGACGGAAGATGATTATGTTTCTTCATGTCCTTTTCTTTTCTTTTTTTCACGTTCATGTTTTTTTGGCTTAGAAGTTCGTACGCGTGTTTTGGTTTTACCTTTGGCTGGTTCCCATTGAGGCGGCGGCGATTCTGTGAATGTGGCCGGTGTTTTTTTTTTTTTTTTTTTTTTTTTGAAGATCATCATTCCATGCCAGTGTAATTTTGGTAGAGCAAATAGAAGGGAAGTGGGAAGGGAAGGTGGTGTGGGTTAGACGCCTGTGGTCTGTTGCTTTCGCATCGCGTTGTTTTTTTTTTTTTTTTTTGTATTTATATGACTGTTAGCTTTCCCCCCATGGACTGTGTCTCTCTCACAACTCCGGCGGTGGATGTTTGCGAGGTTTTATAGGAAAAAGCAATCCGAATAGTGATGCGCAGTTGCGTTGCATGTATGCGTGTGGCTGCCTCATTATTTTTTCATACTTCGTCGTCTTTAAATTTGTCCTCTTCTTTTGTTTCCCTCCTTCTTCCGTGTTCCCGACGAAATCGTTGTTGCTGTAAAAGGCCCTTTTTGTTGTTATTGTTATTGTTGTTGTTTTGGTCGCCCCTTCTCCTGTGTGGCTTGGTTTTCCACACACACACACACACACACACTGCTTTAAGCTTTTTTTTGTTTATTTTTCCATTGTTTCCCCCCTTACATAAACGCAACTTCGTGTCTTCTCTCCTTGTGCTTTTACTTTTGCCTGCCGTTTGGTGGGTGCCTGCAGCCGGTGGCTTTTTGGCGAAGGGCGAGTTCGTGGGGGAACTTCACCCCAACACAACAACCGACAGATTCTCTTGCGCAGGTGCGTAGAAGCGACTCGTCGTTGTCGGCACGAAAGAGCGGGCATCGAATGGATGCGGAGGAAAACCCGCTTGCGGCGGATGTTATGATGGCGTCTTTGGATGTCCTTACCCACAATGAGATGGGGCACCTTGTCTACGCCAGGTCCAACCTCTCGTCGCTTCGCCTCACATCCATTGAGCTGCTTGGAGCATACAAACACCTGCAACGTATCTCTCTAGACGACAACATGCTTGACTCACTCACACCCCTGCGAGAGCTTCGTTCCCTCGTGTATCTTTCGGCAGCAAATAACAACCTTACCGATGAGGTTTTTGATGATCTTGCAGCATCCGGCACCACCTTGGAGAGACTGAACCTCAGCAGAAATCGTCTAGCAAGCCTTCGAGGACTGCGTCTTCTGCCGTTTCTTATAGACTTTTATGCGGAAGAAAATCAGGTGACAGAGTTACGTAACGAAGACTTCTCCTTGCTTCACAGCCTTACACGGCTTAATCTGATGTCCAACCAGATTCAGCGTGTACAACTGGATACATTTGCCAACTGTTTTACTGTGCGTTTTCTTAATCTTTCACATAACGCGTTGGAAAAGGTGCAATTCGTGATGCACCTTGCGAGCAATCTGGAGAGTTTGGATTTGGAACACAACAAGATCAAGAGTCTCCACGGTTTTGATATTTTGCGAGAACTGGTTTATCTTCGACTGGCGAATAATGGAATTGAATCATGGGAGGAGCTGGAGACGCTGTCAGGGCTCATTAATCTCCGGCATCTAACGATAGCAGGAAACCCCATTCTGCGGAAGCCTGCGAACAGCTCCCTCACCAGGTCAATACCGGAGTATTCGGAATCCCGGGTTTCAGCGGATATAGACTTTTCTGCAGGTAAGCGTTCTGTCCTATTTGACTCATTGACAGCTGCTGAGGCCAGTAATAAACTAGTCTCTTCTATGGTGGTGCCCTCTGCCAGAAATCTCGTCAAGGACGTCACTATGTTGTCTCGCAGACTTGAGGAATGGGATGTCGATGGGTTTCGCGAGTTGGAACGGCTCCCGCTCATTGAACAGCATCGATTTCGTGTTATTAGCATTTTACGGCAATTACTTACAATTGATTCCGTGCCTGTATCTTCAGAGGAGATTCCGCGGGCGCTGCGTCTGTTCAAAAAGAAGCGTGGGACGTGGAATGTTGTGGGAGACAACATTTTGCCCGCGGGATCTGCCGCCCGGGCAGTGGAATCCCAACGTGCAAAAAAAGGCAGCGGTATGCCGTGAAGGGAGGTGAGTGCGGCCCATGTACAGAGGAACACATGTGGAAGGGCGTCATCTACATGGTTGGGAGTGGGGTTCCAATAATATCCAGCAAGAGCAAATGGAGTGCATCCCTACAAGAGAGAAGAGGAGGGTGAGTGAAGGGAGGAAGAGAAAAAAGAAAAAAAAATTCTTTTTTTTTTTAAATGTATGTAAATGTTTTAGACCCTGGGCTTTTCTGTTTCTGCTTCACCACCTCATTTACTCTTTTTTTTTTTTTTTTTTTTTTTTGTATTTGCACTCATGGATGTATGTATTATCCGTGTGTATTCTTTTGACTCTCACGTGTAATTTGTTTTATTTATTTATTTATTTATTTATTTGCTTTCAACGTGATTTCTTTTATGTTTGTTTGTTTCTGTGCGTGTATTCTTTTCTCTCTCTTTGGATATTTCGTTGTTGTTGTTTTGTCCTTTTTTTTCCCCCTTTTTTTAAATCTTTTTTATTTTTTAATTATTATTATTATTATTTTTTTTTTTTGCATTGCGCGGACTTTTCGAATTGTCTAGTGAAGAGGGTTTTTGCTGCTGTCATCAACCCTTCATGCATGCTTCGCTCCTCCATCGTGTCGACTCTCTCCACGAATGCCGTGCTTTTAGAGTACCGCAAGCATCACAAGCCACACAGTTCTGGAGGCAACACGTCACGGTCCTCGTCAGTCAGTTCGCGGCGTGCTCCTGACGGCGCAATTGTTGTATTGGAAAATGAGGAAAATGCCTCGGATGAATTTTCCGCGCGGGAGGCGATGTCACCAGCCATCATGTCAGCATCTGATGAGACTCGCATCGTGAATACGAAAAAGAATGGCGGGCTTGAAAAAGGCAACGCTCAGCAGCGTATTGCCGTTGATTGGGATTGGGTCAACCATGAGACGGAGCAACAACGGGTAAACAGCAGCATTTCCAGTGTACCTTGTATTAATGACCAACAGGAAAACATAAGTTTTTTGGATGCTGTACGATTGCTTAAAAATGACAGATATACCTGGGAGCCTTATGTTTCGGCACACAGATTTAGTGAAAACAAAAAGAGCAACTGCCTCATCTCGCTTCTTGAGCGCCTTAGAGACATCTTTTGTTGGTGTAGACACTCTTATTCGAGAGATGGCATTGTTAGTTCAGATCCGGACTCCATATTGCACCATGACACGGAATTTACTCTGACACTACCCTTTGTGCCATTTGACCACAGCTACTCCATTCACCGACGATTACTAATCACCATTTACCACAATTTGTTTCGCCAGACGAAGAATGGGTCTAGCAATGTTGGCACTCCTCCCGGTGCGATTGACTGGGAAGTGTTAGGGTTTCAAGGCAGTGATCCAGCAACAGACCTTCGCTTTACAGGTATTCTTGGTCTACTGCAGCTTGTTTACCTGATTGAGTATTATAGGGATTTTGCGATGTTGTTGTGGAATACCTGCACAAATGGCGGCAGTGGGTTACTTGTGTACGAGGAGCTTCCGTTTGTGCTTGTAGGGTTTAATTTTTCAGCCGTGATTCTTGACATGTTGAAGGATAGTGGGTTCTATACAGAAATAACACGTCGGGCTCAGGCCCTTTTCTACAGTAAAACAAGGGCAAGTCGTCTTCCCATTATAAGCGATAGTGAGAAGGCACTAGGGCGTGAATTCCCACTTCTTTTTGTCTGCTGCGAGTACCATGTTGGTTGCTTGTTCCTCTTCTGGGAGTGTTGGCATGGCCTGAAGATGCAGCGCGACGGAAAGCAACCAACCATTGGGGATTTTGGCGTTGTCAAGGCGAAATTGTGCACAAAGCTAAAAAAAAATGGTCCCCAGTATGCTTTTGATGCCTGTGCAAAGGCCGGAGATCCCTTTAATACGGCTTTACACGCAGAATGCGCGGTGATGCCCAGCGCGATGCAGTTGTCGAAAGATGATGTGACTATTGGAACCAACTGGCCCCAACCGCAGGAGGAAAGGGAAGGGGAGGAATTGTGGCGGTCAGAGGGAAAATAAGAAGTTAGTGTAGTTTATGCTTGATATTTCTCTTTTTTTTTTTTTTCTCTCTTACTCACTCTGTGTACATTTGGGGTTGTGTTTTTTTTGCGGTAAGCTTCCAAATTGGTACGTGTGCTGAGGGAATTGTCGGGGAGGGGCTGCTTTGTCCCGCAAGAGAAGTCCAAAAACAGCATCGGAGACGGTTGTCGGGTAGGAGACAAGAGAATCCCATTGACGATGATGTGGAGGAAATGTATTTACATTTCCGGGGTCATGACATGTAAATCGCCGTGGGGAGCTATTGTTGATTGGCGGCAGGGTGTGGCGTGCGTTGTAGAAGTGTGAAGTGGGAGTGTTGCAGCACGCACAGACAAACTCCCACATGCATGCACGCAGACAATGATAAGTATTTTAATCACTCTTCCCTCTTCCTACCACTCTTTCTCTGCGACTACGACGACAAGGTGAACGATGATGGCGTTGTTTATGTTATTTTACTCCGTCATGCCTTGGCTTTCTGTGTATTATTCTATTTGGCTTGTTGTCACTGCTGCTTTGGCTGCTGCATTCCGTGAATTTTTTTTTAGTTTTTTGTTTTTTTTTCCTGCGTGGTGAAGCAGCCCCAACAAAAATTCTCTCATGGCGGCACATGACTCGCGTGCATACAATTTGACGCCGTTTGTTTATCTTTTTTTTTCCCCTTCTGTTTATATATATATATATATATATATATATATATATATATATATATATATATATATATATATATATTTTTGTGTGTGTGTATTTGTTTTGTCTCTGAATGCGCTTAGCATTTGAAAGGCATCGGGCCCGGGCGGTGCATAAATTGATCTGTCAAAGAAAAGTGGAGTGAACGTGCAACGAAGGCATTAGTTGTACTGCACAACTCAAGAGGAAAAGATATATATATATATATATATTATATATATATATGTATATATAAATACATATATACATACATAAGTATTGCAGGCGCCTTGGAGAGTTGGTGGACCCAGTAGACACGGCGAGCGGGGTGGAGGACCGCTGCTATTTACCCCAACGCCCCTGATGCTGAATCTCCGTGAAGTATTGTTAAATTCCCGTCAGTGCGTCTCAAGTCAGCAGCGGATGGAGCGGTGTGCTCTTCTCTTCCCCTTTTACACCGTTTCCCCTGCCCACAGCACCAAAACTGGTACGCCTTCTCCGAAGGCGGAAGAGGAGATTTGTGAGCGAGGCAGCCGGCATGCATTCCAGCTCATTGGCTCGCTGAACGACAAGACGGTGCCAGCCGGTTTAGAGGACAGTTTTGTCTCTCAGGTGCAACTTGTTCGGGCGCTTAATAGCAGTGCATTTAGCACTATTTTTTTGGCTACCAGAGGCTCAACGCAGCGACGTGACATGCAGAAGGAAGGCAGCCAGCTTCCGCCTTCACACATGAATAGTGAGGTTGGGGTTTCTTCGTCGTCTCGTCCTTGTAGTGTTTCTTCGGCCGCGATTACTTCCCCGCCCCTTCGGCAGCAACAGTGCATCGTCGTAAAATTTATAGAATTTGGGAAAGAAGACAAAAAACTTCGGGAACTTGCCAATAGGGAAATCCAGTGCCATCAGTCCTGCAATTTTTTCTCAATCCCACAGTTCTATGGTGTCTACACGCGCCGCCTGTGCCCAGAGGCCCCGCCCCACCCGGTGAAGAATCCCATCACTGCACATGTGTTGGAGATGGAATATGCCAACAACGGTGATCTTTCTCAAGAGATTCGGCTGCGTGTGAAGAATGACTACAAACTCTTCTCTGAACGTAATGCATTATTGATTTTTGAACAAGTTCTTTTGGCAGTGGACTACCTACACGACAAGGGGATCATTCATCGTGACATCAAAGCGGGAAACGTGTTTCTTTGCAGCAACGGGTTAGTGAAACTGGGTGACTTTGGGCTGAGCAAATTCACGCCGGGTGATGTCAACGAGAAGAGAAATGGATCGTTTGTAGGCACGGCGTCTTATATCACGCCTGAAATGTGGGAGCGTAAGCCGTACAGTGGGAAGGCGGATATTTTTTCCTTGGGAGTGCTGTTGTACGAGATTTTTACACTGAGAAAACCATTTGTTGGAAAAGATAAAAATGAAGTTAGGCAAAATATATTAAAACAAGAACCGAAGATACCGTCTCATGTTTCACCTGAGGTTGCCAGCATCGTGCTTGCAATGTTGCAAAAAGAACCCGATCTTCGTCCTTCTGCTATGGATGTGTTGTTGTTACCGCTGATGCGAAACACATTGGCGAGTTTTCTGAAGTCCGTGATTATGGATGGCATGAATGATACCCTGCGACGTGGGAGGGAAATAGGGAACGGCAGCGTTTGCGACAACTTCGCAGACGGCACTCGTCAGCCAGGTGAAAAAGCGACTGTATACTGCCGTCTCTTATCGTGCGAACGAGAGAAAGTACTGCTGAATTTAGCCTGGGTGTATCGGCGAATTCTTTATAAGGCGGTAACATTGTCGAGTAGGGCAAGCCAAATCAGGTTGCAGTTGTCAAAGGTGAATGCGCTGACAAGGACGACGTCACAGGTACTTATTGAGGGTGACATACTGAAGGAAAATACTGGCTGCTGGAAGTTGCGCCATTTGTGCCTGCATTGGGCAACAGACTCAAATGATATGAGTCCACAGCAAGAGTCAGTGCATTCTGGGGTTATTGAACTGATATTGTCGCTTAAAAAGGACTCAGCCGAGAGCACTCGTACATGTGTGAGTTCGTTTATTGACTGTTTTGAGGTTCTTGAGCGGTACGCCATGGATGGGGCAAAATATGTTTTTGCATTGCTTAGCAGGACGGGAAAAAAGATATCCTTTCAAGCCTCCTCTGAAGAAGAGAGACAGCGATGGATATCTTTCTGCCTTGCCTCCATTCAGCACAATAACGGGTTGGCGTAGAGGTGTTCTTCCAGGAATATGACCTGCGCGTTTTACGAGGCACTGGTTCCACTATGAGTCGTCAAAACCCCAGCAGGAGGATACCGGTAGTTATTGTTCCTTGGAAGGCGAAAAAGCCTCGGGGTGTGTTTTGTTTTGTTTTGCTTCTGAGTCGAGTACGCCAAACAACGCATGACCTCACCGCTTACCTGGGAGTGACACCGCACTCTTACCTTCGATATTTTTTTATTATTGGAGTTTATTATTTTCACTATTATATTGCATTGTCAGTGGATGAGGGCGCGTGCAGACATCATTGTTGGCGAATGGATGTTACAAGTTGTTTTGTTATGTGTATGCTACATGTGTGTGTGTGTGTGTGTATGTGAAAAGGAGAATCAACCATAGAAATGATTGAAGGAACTGTGAAAAGAACGAATAGAGGAGGGAGGGAAACTAATGAATGTTGCAAATGGCTTATTCTTTTACTTCGTTACTGCGGGGATTGTTTTTATACGTATGCTCCATGCATTTATTGTCTCTCACGAATTTCAAGTGGAAGGCGGCGGGTTGTGGGGGATGCTTATGGCACGTCAATGATTTATTTGCCTTTTCTTTTTTTATTCCTTTCTTTTTTCTTTTTTTCTTTATTCCTTTTCTTTTTCTTTTTTTTTTTGCATATGCCTTCTTTACGTTTTAGCCTCCCCCTTTTTTTTGAAGGCTCTTTTTGTTGTTTTTGTTGCTGTTGTTTTAATATGCGTGTGTGACCACTTTTTTCTTTTTGGTGTGCATGAGGGAGCGGTGAAAAAAGGGGGAAGACAATGAGGAGAACCGCCCATGTACAGATCGGGATCACGACCGATACCGCTCTATTCCGCACTGGTGCAACGGCCTCGCGCCTTCTGCCTCGTCAAGGGCAAACACGTAAAGAAACCGCGCGGCTCAATGCGGGGAAAAGAGAAGAAAAAAACCGAAATTTTTTGTTTTTTGTAAATTTTTTTTTTTTTTTTTTTTTTTGTGGAATGTCTTTTCCTTTAATTTTTTCGAATTTTTTCCCAAATTTTTTCTTTTTCTTTTTTATGACGACATCTGCAGTGGATAGGAAGTACGTTTTTGGGAATCATTCAGCCCCAGAATGAGCGGCTTGGCGTTCGGTGGCACTGCGTCCAGGGAGTGGATGTAGCCTCAGACCTTCCCTGCGGACAGGTGGTCCTGCACGCTGGATCCAAAGGAGCACAGTGGGCGGCAATGGGAATTTCCGGATGTGTTCAACGAGGCCGAGAGCATCGCAGCAAGCAACGCCCTCCGTTAAAGCAGCTTTGGCGGAACACACACACACAAACACAGAGAGAGAGAGAGAGAGAGAGAAAAGAAAAGGATGGATTGGATTAATTTTACCACCTTTGCATCAGCGGGTCACCGTGGCAGAAAGAAGAAGAAGAGGGGGGAAAAAAGGCCGTGAAGGATGACGTGGGAAGTGTGCGACTTTGCCTGGAAAAGAGGAAAATCTGCTGTGATCGCAAATGGAACCCCACTTGGAAACAACCACTCTAATTGTGCTTAGCAATGCTGACTCCCGTGAATTGTTTCTGGAAATGTGACATTAAATCGCTCCCCGTTGTCGATGCGACATATATTGGCTTTGACCTTTAAAAAAAAAAAAAAGACAAGTTGGTTGGGGTGAGGCAAAGGCTATTGAACGAAGCGGAAATAACAAAGTTTTCTAGTTGCTACAGCCCTGACAAATTTAAATTATTGTCCTTTACACCTTTATCTTTTCTGCTACTCCGTTTCCCAACGTTTTATTTTAGTTACCATTTTAGAGAACAGTGCTTTCTCCACAATTAATCACTGCAGGATAAACCTTGGCAGAGAAGATAAATACATACGCCACAGCACTGTTGACTGGAGATATCGGAGATGCCTTCTGGGGACGCGATGATTCCCCGCGTGTGTCGCACCTTCAGCGATGCATTCGCGAGTGACGAGGCGACGGCGAAGGAGCAGGGGAAGAAGTACTGGATCAGCCGGGTTCTGGGCTCCGGTGCGACGGGCACCGTGCTGTGTGCGAAGCGTAGGTCGGATGGACAGTCATTCGC